ATATTAAATATGAGTTAATTCTAACTCGCTTTAAAAGCGAGTCAATAAATATTTTTAAATTAATACGATGTTTCAATGGAATGAAAGTCATGTTATCAATGCCGCAGGTGGTAGAAGTATTGGCAATTGGTGCAGTAAAAATATTTCAACAGATACCAGAAGCATAAAAAAGGGTGATTTATTTATTGCCCTTAAAGGAAAAAACTTTGATGGTCACAATTTTGTATATGAAGCATTTGCAAAAGGAGCTGTAGCTGCAATAGTTAGCGAAAATAAGTGGCAAAACTTTCCCACAGTCATCGTAAAAGATACGTTAAAAGCCCTGCACAATATGGCATCGTACTACATCAGAAACGTACTTTGTAACGTTAAAGTTATTGCAGTCACAGGTAGCGTCGGAAAAACTACTACGAAGGACATGCTATATACCGTGTTATCACAGTATGGCATATCTCACGCAACCAGAGGGAACNTAGGAGTGCCCTTGACTATACTCAGTGCACCACAAAATTGTGAGTATTTAATTCTTGAAATGGGAATGAGCAGAAGCAGTGAAATAAGGGAATTATCGGAAATAAGTAACCCAGACATTGCTGTTATTACTAATATAGAACATGCACACACTGCAAATTTTTCTTCTCTGTTTGATGTTGCACAAGCAAAACTAGAGGTATTGCACGGCCTAAAAAGTGATGGCATTCTGGTGCTAAATAAAGATAACAAATACCTATCATCGTACCTTAATAAAAATAAATCCTCCGTAATAAGCTTCGGCAAACATCAAGATGCTACTGTTCGTCTATTGAATTTGAAAAGGAACGAAAGTGGATTAAATTTAAATATTCAGCTTAACGATAGTAAAATTGTAAATTACCACTTACATACTCATGGTGAACATTTCTCTTATTCCGTACTGGCAGTTGTAGGAGTTGCAATGGCTTTAAAACTTAATTTACCTCAAAATGCGTTTGAAACTTTCCAAATCACTAAGGGTAGAGGAAATATTTGTTATACCCAATACAATGGAAAACACTTATGTTTAATCGATGATTCTTACAATGCAAATCCTGCTTCAATGAAAGCTGCTATTAAAACTTTAGGTACATACTCTAACAAGAGGAAAGTCGCCATACTTGGTGATATGCTAGAGCTTGGTGATGAAAGTGTGAAATTTCATACTGATCTACTTGATCACATACTAGCATGTGAAATAGATAAAGTTCATGCAGTCGGTAGTTTAATGTTAGAACTACATAAGCTTTTACCGAGAGGGGTAAAAGGTGCACATTTTGATGACTCCAGCCAGCTAAAAAATAATTTGGACGATATTGTTCACAATGGAGATGTAATTCTCATTAAAGGTTCACAAGGTATGCACATGAACATTATAATACAACAGCTTTGTTTGAAATAAAATTGGGGCGAGCGACCAGGATCGAACTGGCGACATTCAGTACCACAAACTGACGCTCTACCAACTGAGCTACGCCCGCCAAGGTATAAAATTTTTAACATACTGATAAAAATAGTCAAGCTAGTTTTCAATTTTTTGCAAAAAGTGTATTGACATATCGGTCTTACATTATGTATTAAGAAAACTTGGTGTAGAAACAAAGGTGGGAGGAACTATGGTAGAGATAGTTAACACTAAAAGTGGGGTGTTTGACGAGTTGCTTAAAAAACTTGAAGGGTTAGTAAATAATACTTATGGTTTCAAACCTTCAACTCAGAGCTGTAACGCTAAAGATGAGTTAATACAAAATACTCAGAGCTGTAATACTGAAGATAAGCTAATAAAAGATCTTGACTCAATAAAATTAATGATAAGAGATCTTTATGGGAGTTACTGTAACAGTGATCCAGAACATATCTCTCTTGCAGACATAAAAATACATGGCGAGAATACTCCTACTATTATAAGAGAAGCTATTGAATTCATTAATAAACATGCTACGGGTGATGAAAGAACAGTGTCTACAAAACTTGTAGAAATTAACGATGAACTCATTATAGCACGTAACTGTATACAAGCAATGCTACAAAAAGGCAAGTTACCCATTAGACTTTTTAATAATGATGAGGCTCAGATAGTTTATGACAACCTACAGGTGATTTATTATTTATCCAATCTTATTAGTAGGGAGACAAGAATACAACAATCACAAAATATGATCATTGATAGTAACACTCAAAATGTTATATCTAGTAACAATGATAGTAAAAAATATGAAGCGTTAGAAAAAGAAGCTTTTGTAGAGTTTAATAAGTATATAGATGGTGATGTTATTCATAAAGTGACAATTGAAAAATATCCTGAAAAGGATTTTTTTAATGCACAAATTAAACTAAAAGGTAATAATATAGCCACAACCATAAAAGTAAGTGAAATTCTGAATAGTAAGCTCTATAAAGAAAATAAGATTGTTAGTTTTTCAATATTAGGTAACAATCAGAGCGAGATTTTGATTGGCCGCATTGCTGAAAAAGGTGGTAGAGTAGTTAGATTATATGATCTTTCCAAACTTGATCCTCGCTATGGATTGCAGTTTAATTGGACTACAACAAAAGGAAAAGAATGTAGCATCACATTAGGTGTTGATAATAATGGTAATATTAAAATATTAAATCCTATCTCAGATGAGTTATCTCCAGAAGATGTAGCTGAAAACAAAGATGTAGAATTGATAATTGACGGAAAGGAGCTAAGTCTTATTGAGGCTGTACAAAAAGCTATGAATGTGGGTAGTAAGCTTGATAAAATGCGAACGCCACAACCATTAGGGGGAAGAGAATGTGTCAAACTGGTTAGATAACGGTCTTAATTTGTCTCTAACCAGCCAAATTTATTCTTTGTAGAGAAAACTGTAAGCTTCTTACAGCAAAATGTGCTATTATACTTGAAAGCGTACTACTAATTATATGATGAATATCAGAATAGAAGTGCTAAATAAGTATGGGCACATTAATGTTTTCTCAGTTTATATAGGCAAGGAACTAACACCGGAAGTGTATGAGGAAATTTGTAAGTTGTTTTACAATGAAATCATTCAAGACTGTCGTTACTATCTCTATGGTAAAAATTTAGAAGAAATACAATATGAATTCATGGACCCACAAGCAGAGTGGGGTATTGAGATAAGCCTTCTACCTGGAATAACTGACAATGTTGGTAATACAGCAAAGCAAGTTGTTAGAGAGTACTTAATAAGTAAAGGTTATATTGATGAAGATATTTATATCAGAGGAAGAAGCGCTAAACTAATACTTGGTAAAGGCATGATTCCAACTGAATATGATATAAAACAAAAATTTAACTCTATTACCGAGTATTGCACACTCATATATAAAAAAAATAGTTATTACAATCGCAAAGTTTATGGGTCGGTTTATAACGAACCTACAACAGATCTACCAGTACATACTCAAAATAATGCAAAATCTGTCAATCTGAATGTCACTAACCAAGAATTAGAGAAAATAAGTCAAGATGGAATTGAAGGTAATGGCACTTTGGGACTTTCCCTCTCTGCAATGAAAGCGATAAGAGATTACTTTAACAAGCTCAACAGAGATCCATATGACATTGAGCTGGAGTCGTTAGCACAAACTTGGTCTGAACATTGCAAGCACAACATTTTTTGCTCTCCCATTGATGAGATAAAAGATGGCCTCTATGCGCACTATATTAAACGTGCAACGCGCGAAGTAAACTCCAGCATATGCGTATCTGTTTTTTCTGACAATGCAGGTGGAATAATTTTCGATGATGAGTATTTAATTGTAGACAAAGTTGAAACCCATAATAGTCCCTCAGCTCTTGATCCGTTTGGTGGGGCAATGACAGGAGTATTAGGCGTTAATAGAGATATAGTAGGTTTTGGCAAAGGTGCAGAGCCTATAATGAACACCTACTTCTTTTGCTTTGCTAACGTATCAAAGCGCAAGTTGTATAGAGATAAAAGACTTTCAAATGAAGCACTATCACCAACGTTCATCATGAAAGAGGTGATTCGCGGGGTCAATGTCGGGGGAAATTGTTCTGGTATTCCAACTCAATTAGGCTCTGCATATTTTGACGACAGATTTTGCGGCAAACCTTTAGTTTTCGTTGGTAGTGTAGGAATTATTCCCCGCAATATAAACGGCGTTCCTTCATACATTAAAGAGCCAAAGAATGGTGACAAGATTGTCATTGTCGGCGGTAGGGTAGGAAAAGATGGAATCCACGGTGCAACATTCTCTTCAGAAGCATTATCAGGGAATAGCCCTTCAACAATTGTGCAAGTTGGTGACCCTATAACACAAAAGAAACTGTCAGATGCCATAATTGAAGCGCGCTATCTTGGTCTTTATAATGCAATAACAGATAACGGAGCAGGAGGGTTTTCATCCTCCATAGGTGAAATGGGAAAAAACGGATTTGAGGTAGATCTAAGCAAAGTTCTGCTAAAGAGTAATAACATGTTTCCTTGGGAAATATGGATATCAGAATCACAAGAACGAATGACTTTAGCGGTGCCAGAAGAAAATCTCCATACATTCAGGAAAATCATGAAAAAACATGATGTAGAATTTAGTGTAATTGGGGAATTCAACAATAGCATGAGGGCTAAAGTTCAAGTCTCCTCAGCTCCACCAATAATGAATATAGAAACTAGTTTTCTACATGACGGCAATCCCAAGATATATCTGAAAACACAACCTTGGACAATAAAACCAGTGGAGATACAAAAAAGAGCCGTTGATGTTCCCATAGAAACTGAGCTGAAGGAAATGCTTAGTAGACCAAATATATGCAGCAAGGAGTTTATAGTTACACAATATGACCATGAAGTGCAAGGGTCATCGGTACTAAAGCCACTGCAGGGTAAAGGGAAAGTATGCAGTGAAGCTGTTGTTTCACGACCTATTTTCTCTTCAACACGCGGTGTAGTAAAGTCACAAGGATTTGGTTCAAGCTATGGAGAGATTGACTCTTATCACATGGCAGCATGTGCAATAGACACTGCAATACGTAACTACGTGGCCATAGGAGGAAACATAGACAACTTGGCACTACTTGATAATTTCTGCTGGTGTGATGCTTATAATCCGGAAAGACTATGGCAATTGAAAAGAGCAGCCGAAGCTTGCTATGACTATGCAACTGTTTTTAAAACCCCATTCATATCAGGTAAAGATAGCATGTTTAATGACTTTAAAGGATATGATGAGGATGGTAATGAGGTAAAAATATCCGCACCACCTTCATTGCTTATTTCAGCTATCGGTATCATAGAAAACATTGAAAACGCAGTGTCACTGGATGTAAAGATTCCAGGTGATTTGATATATATACTGGGTGCCACCCATAACGAACTTGGTAGATCAGAATATCAGCTATACTGTGGAATAGATAACAATAATGCACCAAAAGTTGATGCTCAAGGTGCTAGAAAATTATACGAACGCTACGGAAAAGTTATTGAATCCGGTATTATAGCTTCTGCGATTGCACCAAATCTAGGGGGGCTTATTGTTGCTTTAGCAAAGTCACTAATTGCAGGCAATCTTGGAGCTGAAGTGGATCTTTCATTAGTACCAGCAAGCAGTAGTGATATAAGAATAGTTATGTTTTCTGAGTCTCAAAGCCGCATATTGATTACTGTTGCACCAC